TCGACACATGGTGAGACCGATGTAGACGCAACCCGAATAGAACTTTTTAGGTTGAAGTAGTTGGGCGACCTCGTAGGGTAAGCTCGGGTTGAATCTTTCACGTGGGATGATCCCCCACATGACGAAAACGGCAGTTCTTCATATGAGGGTGTTCGAGATTAAAGCCCCTGAGCCCCTGTTCGCCTCGACGGATGAGTCAATGTTTTCTATAGTCTTATCAGCGTACCTGTCAGAACGTAGACGACGCAAAAGGACAACTAGACAAATAGCTCATTACCCACATGACGAAAACGGCAGTTCTTCATATGAGGGTGTTCGAGATTAAAGCCGCTAAGCCCCTGTTCGCCTCGACGGATGAGTCAATGTTTTCTATAGTCTTATCAGCGTACAAGTCAGAACGTAGACGACGCAAAGGGGCAACAAGACAAATAGCTGATTAATTTTGCCAAAAACAATTTTTTATTTGTCTGACCGACCCCTCACCGCTGATCTAGCACTTTCATCGACTACTGCATCCGGGATTGACAACTACTGGCTTGGGACCTTAAGAGTGTCTCGGGAGTTACTGATTGAAATACATAAAAAAGGATGCTTAATACGAAACATTTCGATGAGTGGCAACACAAAATGCCTTCAGTTTTTGGTGCGTTAAGTTACAGCCTTCAGCCTTATGATGAACCCCTCTTAAGGGGCTCGTTTTATAGACAGGAAACGGAAGTTAATCAACTAGTACATAGATGTAATAGGGAAAAGAGGAAAAGCCTATAACCCTACCGCTGCATCAAGAATGTTTAGGAGCCTACATGAAATTTCGTCGAAATGGATTAGGTAGTCCTAAAAGTCAACCCAGCTCAAAGAATTCGGTCAAATGTACAGGAGAGAAGGGCAAAAAGAAAAAATAATCACTAGAACTAGCCATCGCTGACATTTTCCAGTGGCCAGAAAGCAAAAGGGAAAAGAGCTAATTGTAAAGAAAAAAAGCCAACAAAGCACAAAGTTAATTTCATGATTTTCGACCAGCAAGTAATGAGATGTTTGGTCGTTAAGGAACATGGAAGCAAAAGAGCAACCAAATGGAAAAGAGGCCATTGCAATAGATTTTAATGATATCACACGATTAATTCGTTATATAATGTTAACATACAAGAATAAATTCATGTAATAGAAGGAGGATTTCGGATTTTACGGATCATTTGCTTCTATTCGAATGCCAACCTGACGACCTTTCATTTTCATCAATACTTCCTAATTAAGGCCTTACCTTTTTATTTTTAGATTTTCAGAGCGCTTTAATGAGATGATTCGTTTCATTTTCAACACTTTCGAAAACCTTTGAACAAACAGATTGTATCAAACATTCACCTGAGGATAGGTGTTGAGAGGTTGTGGTGAGATGTCAGGTTTAGGCGCATTTATCGCCGCCAGACAGACGAAGGCAATTAGGCAGATTGACAACAACTGGAAAAGGTTCATCAATAATAATGGAACAGAATTCTACTCAGAACAACTACAAATGGGACCATAATTGGGGCCACAAATACGGTGCTCAGGCCACTCTAGAATGAAGGACCCTTCCCGTCATACCTGATGCTCTGATTGCTCCGACGAACCGACGGCTTTTTTTCAAGGTGACAATCATATGCAATAGAATGATTGCAAATAGCCCGATTAACCGTCAGTTTCAATCGATAACAAGTCGCAACTGCTGTTTCACAAAGACCAGTTTCCTTTCATAGCCATCAACGATTGCCCGCTCAAAGACCAAAAACTCTTAGAAAGACCGCCGTCAAGTAAGTTTCGGCGCTCAATACTTGTTAGAAAAGACCCATTTTTCAAAGAAATGTTCCCCGTTAAATTCCGAGAAACATTACCAACAGCAACTATTTCGGAGAATCTAGGAAAAGGAAAACTCGTCCAAATGAATAAAGGGCATGGAGGACTTACGAAAAAAACGGTGTTGAGGGCGAGGCAGAGTGCGCGTGCAGTGCGCTCGAGGCGCTGCGCCATCACACACACACACTGAATCCAGCCCTGCCCTGGCCACGCCCCCTTCACGCACCAGCTGGCTGGCAATAGTGAAGGAGTTGCGTGGTAAATTGCGTCTAAAAAAGATGTATGTAAAAAAAAAGAGCCGAACAAAGAATAACAAGAAAGGGAAGAGCATTTCTGTTCTATGGGTAATTAGGATCCCATTCATGCAGATTATTTAGCATAATCATGTTTATGTTTAAACGGAGTGGGAATAATAATCAGGGCGCAATTAGGAGTAATTGATGGAGGTGGTGTAGTGTCAAGTGGCGCACTTCACGCAGGCATGGTCACGGGTTCGAGTCCAGGATCGCTATCCGCTTAGGCCAACGAAACCTTTCATCCCTCCGGGGTCGATTGATTGGCACCAGACTTGTCTGGTGTCCACTTATGGGTGGATAAAAGTACTAGTGTTATATAAATATGTAAAGTGTAGAAAATTGAAGTCAGTGGAGCAGCAATAAAGAACAATAATAAGCAAATACATCAAAAGAACAAAATAACCAGACAGATTAAATGAGGCTCGTTCTTCCTCTTCACAATTCGAACCACTGTCTCAACATTCCTTTGAGGCTCGTTTGGTGTTAGGGGGAAAAGGAATGGGTAAAGCTATTGTCTGAATCAAGGAGAGGAATGAATATGAAGTTATACTATTGGAAATGCTTATTTCTCTTTCAGAATTCCATTAATAAGGGATTCTATTTAAATTATCCTCAACAGAAAACTTGTAGCATATAAACTTATTTCTATTGGGTTGTAACATAAGTTCGTAGAGTTTTGCGTTAGAGTTATTTTGCAACGTATTGTTTTGTTATTCAGCAAAGTGTATACATTCATTCGAAAGAGCTTTTTCTCCTCTACAAAACTGTTTTATCTGTTTTTTGGGGAGTTTAATTGTTCGTCTTTTTTCTGGCTCAGAAATGGAATATCTAGGAGGAAAAAATCAGCATTTTCGACATCTGCTTTTCTTGCCGAAACAGCTCGGGAGATATGCAGTGTGTACAGGGAAGGTGTCTTACATAGGTGTGTCTACTGCACAAAAATGGTTCGCAAAACTTGAAATAGGCGACTTTAAACTTGAAGACACGCCTCGAAGCGGACGACCTGCAGAATTCGACCAAGAGCGTCTGAAGGCACTATTGAAGGAAGATGGTCGCCAAACAATTCGTGTATTGGCTGATTATTATAATAACTTATTTAATGATTTATTATTGCA